TGCCTGGGGGCTGACACACAACCCATCACAGGGAAGGCTGAGAGGACAAAGCTGTTCTGGGCAAGCCCATGCTCTGTGTGGAGTACCAGAGAGGTTTCACGCACAGCTCAGAGTAAACAGGCAAACAAGTGGCAGCCAGAAATGTTAATATTTGCAAAAATCTCCTGGTTTTGGCGCCTGGGTGTGGGGAGCTGAAGGATGCTGGTGGAATGCAAACATGATGGATTCTTGGCTGCCCAGAGGGGTGGCATGGGGAATCTCACAGGGCAGGACAGACTGCCTGACAGGCCTGCTCATGACTGTTCACACAAGGAGTCCTGAAGAGGGAGACTGGGATGAGAAGTTCAGTAGCACATGAAACTGGTCCCCTGGGATTGAGTTATTTGAGCATCCCTGGGAGAAAAAAAAACCAAACAACTAAACAACAAAACAAAACAAACCATGATTAGGCCATGTTCATCCTCCTTTGCCTGTTTCAGACCTTGTTTCCCTCCCTCCATGTAATAGGAGATGGATTTCTCCATGCTGAACCCCAAAAAACAAAAAAAAACAAACAAAAAACACCCCATGATTATGCCATGTTCATCCTCCTTTGCCTGTTTCAGACCTTGTTTCCCTCCCTCCATGTAATAGGAGATGGATTTCTCCATGCTGAACCCCAACCCTTCTCCTGGATACATGAGGGCAAAAATGACACAAACCTTCAGACTCCTGCCCTCACTTCACCTGGGCCCTTTCATGGCGTATTTAGGGTGGTTTGAACCTGCTGAACGCCATCTCTACAGGGCTTTTACCTGAACCATGGCTGCCACTTCATAGTCAGACAGCTTCAGAGGCTCCAAAGCCTTGAAGGCTCTGGCTTCAGCAAAACAGCAATATCATTTGGGACTGAGAAGAAAATATTGGCAAATAATGGTCACCTCTGGTCACCTTCCTCCTGCAACTATTTATCCAAAGATACCATATCTCAGAGCATTGCTTCATTTCCTGCTCACCTTTCTAAGCGAGGCCTCTAAATCACATCCCTGCAGCTGAGCTCACGGAGGGAAGTGTAATATCCATTAGCAGTGATGCTGCTGTTACTTTGATTTACCTCCTCCCTTTTTCTTTCACTCTTTTCTTTCTGTTTACAGCGATCCCTTTCCACTTCTTCCCCCTCCAGGTCTCAGTGCAAAGAGCTGGCAGGAGCCCACACAAGCAAAGCTTCCTGGGATGCAGCCTGCTTTTGGGGATGTGGGGAGGCTGGGGGTTTCTCCTGGACCAGCAGCACCCCACTCCTTCCTGACCAGAGATGCCAAGGGCAGTGGGAAGGGCTTCAAGCTATCCCATCCTCACCCCAACAGAGTCCTTCACCTGGGGCTTGTCACACATGGAAAAGATCAACCCCAATTTACCCCTCTGTGCCTCTTCTGCCCCAGAGCTGGGCACTGCTCAGGGAGAGCCACAAGATCCTCCAGGAGAGGAGAGCAGGATCCAGAGGAATCAAAGTCCTCGGAGTGTATTTGCACTCAAACCAATGTGAAACAGGGAAATCAAAATGCAAAGCTTCTTGTCCCCTGTGGAATTTCCCTGCCTGCATCTGGAGAGCCAACACAAGGGACTGACACTGGGATCAGAGGTTGCTTCCCCTTCCCTATCCCCTCGTGTTTCACTGGCACCCAGGGAAGCTCCCAGACCCACTGCACTTCCCCCTTCATCCCCCTCCTCCAGCAAGGCCAAACAGCTCCTCTGACACCATCTCCAAGAACACATATTTACAGCATGGAACAGAGAACAGTGAAGAGCTTTGGACCCAATCCATGTGCTTTGAGCCAAACCCTTCTCAATCCATCTTATCCTTCACCTCCCCAGTGCATAATCAAATTCTCCAAACACAGCGTTCTCAGGTCCCAGCCCAGAGCTTGGAGCCTCCCGAGAGGGATATGCTAAAAAAAGAAAGAAAAACATTACATTGCCAACTGAAGTGAGTGCTGAAAGGAAGGAGATGCCAGGAGCACTTAAACAGGAATCCGAGACCGGGGGACGCGCGGGTGTGTGTTTTCAATCCCCAGGAGGAGATGTGTTCACTGGGAAATGACTGCCACTCACTGCTAGATTTAGACCTTGTAGATGATGCCCCAGAAAGTGAAGTGGCCATGACAAGGACATCCCCATCTGTATTAGAACTTTCTTCTTGGATTGATGGATTAGTGCATGGTAAAATGGTGCCACTCCTCCTTTGGCTCTGAAATTTGCATTTGCAGCTCAAACCTGCAAAGAGGGAAATAAGCAATTTTACATGAGTGACAGGTTGGCAGCAAGGGGAGTTATTTGGGAAAACTTATACATCAGGGGGTCCAGGACTCTGCTGGGTGCTGAAGGATGTCCTGAGCACCTGAACCCAAGCTGGCAGCTCCACACCCTGGTCCAGAGCATCTCTTCCAGGAGAGCAGCATCCCATAGCCCCAGTCCTGGGCAGGGTATGTGCTGGCACTGCCCAGCCTGGTGCCATGCCAGGGGAATGCTCCTGCTGTTCCCACTGCACAGAGGGACCGGGACCAGGATCCAGCTGGGGCTAAAAGCAGAGCTAATGGGGAAGTTCCACATCAGCTGAGCTATCCCAAATTCTGCTGTTTCAGGGTGAAGCTTCAGTTCCAGCTGCTCTCCAAACAATGGGCCTACAGGTGTCCCTGGGAGGCTGTCACCTCCTGGGCTCCATAGCAGGGAGAGATGAGCTCTGGCCACAGCACAGCTCCTGATCTACAGGGACGCCTCTCAGTACTGTTGGAACATAACCTTCCACAGCACAGCCCAGATATCTGCTAAAGGCAATTACTGATGCTTTTTACCTCTCTGCAGAGCCTCACAAATAAAGTATCACAGTGCTGCAACAGGTGAGGGAGCAGCATCCTGGTTCACCCTAGGCTGAGTGTCCTGTGCTGGAATCTTGTCTGTGTCTGTGCATAGTTTATAATGTCTCCTGGAGGAAGAGTGGCAAAGCCAGGAGGCTTTGAGGAACGGTGGCAAAAGCCAGGAGGACAAAGCCATTTCCCTCTCAAAAGGATGCACCTAAGCAGATTATTCAGTTCCCATCCAGAATCCATGAGCTCAAAGGCAGCTGTTTCTCAGGATTGCTGGCACGTGGCAGGAGGGTGGGAGGTAACACCAGCTGCAGTGCTGCTGAGATGGGCTGGCACTGGCACTGCTCTAGTTCAGCCCTGGCGTGTCCACGGGGTGAGAGCCAGCCTCGTGGAAGCACAGAGATGTAAATGTGGGGACTGAGGTTTTGCTGCATGAAGTCACAGCTGAGAGGGGATTGTCCAGGCATCCATGGATCCCAGTGTCATTATCCTAATGATGTTCCTGGGGCACTCCTCCATGTTGTGCAGCAGAAAGGATAAAAAGGCAGCAATGGGAGCAGGTTCAGCCTGCTGGAAATAACCCCTGCCCAATGTGTTCTTGTCCCCCAGAGCCCAGTGGGGACTGAGCATCCCTGTCCCAGAGCCACCATGGGTACTGGAGCAGGAGGGTGCAGCCAATGCCCACCTGCTCAGAGAGCAGTCCTGAGCCCCCACAGTAACTGTGTGGGAGCTGCCAGCCCCTTTGGCCATGGCCTGACCTTGCTGTCCATGGATGTCACTTGCTTGGCCAGCCACAGGCCAAGGGGTGTACCTCGCTTGCCCGAGGCCAGCATCCCCCAGGACTGGTTGCTCCTCATGCATGCAGTGATGTTCCAAGTCCAAACATCAGCACGGGGCTGTGGCTGAGCGTGTCACCCCACAAGGCAGAGGCTGGGGCCTGCAGGGCTGTGGTGGCCACATGCCAGTGACAAAGCAGCACAGTGTGAGAGAAAGCCTGGGGAAATCCCTCAGACAAGCAAATGAAGATGGGCAGCAATACTTGCTGCGCTAATTGCACTGCTGTAACGAGCAAACAGAGCACCAGGAGGAGAAGGGCAGTAGCTGGACAGTGCCTGGCACATGGCCCTTTTCGGGGCATGCTCTGGTTCTAATGGTTAGGAAAGAGACAGGTGGTCTGTACAGCTCTTGTGAGTCCCTGTGTCCCCCCTCCTTTCAGTTTTATTTGCTTTTACTTCCAGTACTGAAAGTTCTTGTGATGTTTCTCACATGTCCACACCAGTGTCTGCCACTCCCCACAGCCTCGCAGGGCCAGCATCAGGTGACCACACAAGGATGAAAACCCTTCCTTCTTTCTTTCTTTCTTTGGCTAGCAAGCCTGCAGCCCTCGTGATTCCTGAGGGAACCCAAAGCCGTGACCCCAAAGCGTTGGCCAGAGCTGTGCTCTGCACATACCGTGAGCAGGGGAGGGAGAGGCAGCCTTTGCCTGGGCTCATTTCTGCGCCCTTTACTGAATGCAGCAGTGGGACAGGAGCTGCGCAGGATAGTGCAGGGGCAGTGCAAGGCCCAGTCCAGTCCAGTCCAGTCTGGTCCAGTCCAGTCCCACCCAGTCCAGTCCATTCCATCCCAGCCCAGCCCAGTCCGGTCCAGTCCAGCCCGGTCTGGTCCGGTCCGGTCCAGTCCAGTTCAGTCCGGCCCAGCCCAGCTCGGTCCGGTCCACTCCATTCCATTCCATTCCATTCCATTCCATTCCAACCCAGTCCGGTCCATTCCGTTCCATTCCGTTCCATTCCATTCCATTCCATTCCAGTCCAGTCCAGTCCAGTCCAGCCCATTCCAACCCAGTCCGGTCCATTCCGTTCCGTTCCGTTCCGCTCCAGCGCACTCCTTTCCTCGCGCGCAGCCCCCGCGGGCTCTCCGGGGCGCTCGGGCCGTGACCGCGTCACATGCCGGAGCCCAGCCCCTCCCCCTCCGCGGAATCCCACCCAATGAGCTGGCGGGCGCGTGGCGTGTCCGCATCGTGATTGGTCAGGACGGGCGTCAGTCCGCGGGAGGGGAGGGGCGTGGCGTGGCGGAGGCCCCGAGTTCGGGGGTGTCGGAGGTGGGAGAGCGACGGGACGGGACAGGACGGGACAGAGCTGGGACGGACTGGACTAGGTTAGACCGGACCTGACTAAACTAAACTAAACTAAACTAAGCTAAGATAAACTAAGCTAAGCCAAGCCGTTTGAGCAGGGCGGGTCCCTGGGATGGCGGGCCCGGGGCTGTGCCCGGCAGCGGGCGGTGCGCGCCGCGGGGCTGGAGCGGGGGAGCCGCGCCCGGCAGCGGCGGTGCCGCACGGCCCCGGAGCCCCGGGCGGTGCGCGGGGTGCCGGCAGCCCTGGGCCGGGTGAGCGCTGCGCCGGGCCCGGTGGGGACGCGAGGCTGGGCCCTGTCAGAGGGTTTGCTGGAGGGACGGGAAATTGAGAGCTGCCACTCCCGAGGGAGTGACCTTCGGCCGGGCTGCTCGGTAATTTCGGTAATTGGGGCTTTCCAGCCCTGCACACACCCGCTGTAGCAGCTGGACAGGCGCTGTGCCTCCCTGCCGAGCTCGGGCAGGCAAGCCCTGCCGCAGTTCGAGGCTGTGCTTCCACGAGGCTGGCTGTCACCCTGTGAAATGCCGGGGCTGAACGGGACGGGGCGTGCTGTCGGCAGGAGCCGTGTGCCCGCAGGGATGGCCGGCGGGAGCCAGGAGCGGAGCCTGCGGGAGGAGCTGACCTGTGCCATCTGCTGCGAGCTGTTCAGCGAGCCCGTCATGCTGGACTGCATGCACCACTTCTGCAGGGGCTGCATCCTGCAGTACTGGGACAGCTGCGGCCGCGGCCCCTCGTGCCCGCAGTGCCGCCGCCGCTTCCCCAGCCGCGCCGTGCGCTCGCACTACCTGCTGGCGGGGCTGGTGGACAAGGTGCGCCGCTGCGGCTCCCAGCAGCACCGGCACGACATGCGGGTGAGTGCCCCTGCCAGGCTGGGAGAAGGGGACGGTGACACACGAGCCCTGAGCAGCCACCACCCCTCCTTCCCACAGTGTGAAGCCTTTTCTGACCCAAGTGCGCTGATGTTGGGGTCTCTTTCCTCTCCCTGTTTCCTTACAGCTGTCTTTTGAACACTTTTCTTTTGCATTTGTTTCCCTCACTGCTGTGCCTGATTCCAACCACAGCGTTGTCATTTCTCATTTAAGGACATGTTCCCTAAGTGAGAGGGGGGTGAGGGCTGCTTGTGCCAGGTGCTCTGCTTGAGGGGCAGTCCCTTCACAACACACAGCATTTAAAGCTTGTGCAAACAGATATCCCAGGCTGGAGCTCCCAGTCGTAAAAATAAACTGAATTCATCACGTGCACAGATACTTCATTCTCAAGGCTGTGTGTCAGGTGCTTGCTTCTCCTTACAGCCTTTATATGAGATCCTGTTGCATTCTCCTTCTGATGCTGCCCGTAGGGATTGGAACTGCTCCTGAATCAGAGCAGAGTGCTGAAATGGCCTCCTTACCTTCTTTTCCTTCTTCCTGCAGAAGCACCTGGAAGATGCTTTGCAGGCTCGTCAGAAGGAGATGGAGAGCTTGCTGCAGAGGAAGCGTGTGGTGCAGGAGGACATCTGCAGCCTGACGGTAACAGCTGCGGGAGCTGCTCCTCAGCAGCTTCTGGGACAGTGCTCACAGAGGATGTGTGTGTCTTCAGCTGAGGTCTAGCTCAGCTTCCTGTAAAAATCTAGATGAGTAACAGTGGGGATCTGCAGAAACTCCCTTGCATGAAGGCCCAAGCTCATCACTGCTGGGTATTCAGCAGAGGTTTTGGGAGGAGCATTAGCACTCATTAATGCAATGTTTGCAAAGTGCATTGGTGCAGCAGAGATGAGACATGGTTAGGGGTGAGAGCTGTGGGCAGCCTGCTCTGGCCCTGCAGTGCCTCTTTGGGACAGCATTAACTCCTGGCAGCTCTAAAATCCTCTCATGTCAGAAGGGCTGGCAACAAAGCTGAAGGAACTGGGTTACTGGCAGGGTTGGCACTGCAAGAGTGGTGGCCTTGTCACAAGACAGTGTTGGGATTCACTGCAAAGCTCTGAGGTGCATGAGGAGCGTGACTGCTTTCCATGGGCTTGAGAGGGACAGGCTCCCTGTTGGTACAGATCTGTGAAGTGAGAACAGCCACAGGCTGACTGTGCTGCTTTCTTGGGTGGCATAACAGCGTTAAAACCAGGGAAGGGCAGTTTAAGGAAAATGGAAATAGTTCAAAGATGAGATAAAAGTGAGAGGGTAAAAAACCCCTGTGTTCTGACTGGAGCCTCTGATCCCCAGCCTGCTCCATTTCAAACCTCTGTCCTCTTGCCAGATGTGGAATAGACCTTGGAGATTAATGAAGAAGTATTAGCGCATAAGCACGTGTTTTCCTGTTGCTGTGCAAGAGCCAGGAGGTGTCTCAAGAGTAAAAGAGCAAATCACTGATGTCAACAGGGAGGCCCTGCACCTCCTCTGTGGATCTGGTGTGTCAGCACAAACACCTGCTAGAGCAAGAGGAGAGGAGGCTGGTGAAGCTTCAGATCTCTGAGGGAGATGGGTTTCCTGTGAGGAGAGAGGGATGTGCACTTCAGGAAGCACTCCTTGAGAAAATAATGAGGACTAAGGTTGCACTTGGAGATTAAAAGCTTAAAGATTTAAGGAAAATAAAAAGTCATTGGCTGTCTCTTGTAAACAGGCAGGAAGGCAGTGAGAACACAACAAGGTTGGCTGGCGAGTAAACAACTGGAAAAAAGTGACCTCTGTATAGAGCTGAATGGGATTTTATCAGCCTTAATGACAGAGATTAGTTTGTGCAGCTTGCCCATCAGGCAGCTCTGCTCAGGGCCTGGAATGATAAATGCAAACTGACCTGATCAGCTGAGTCTGTAGCTCCACAAAATGTAAAGAGCTCCAGTCTTGCCCACAGGCAAATTCCTGGTGGTGTGGGAGAGGGCTGTGGCTGCATGTGGGGATTTCTAGTTACAGTGACCACGCCTTTGGTGGAGCTGGTTTTTTGTGTTGGTTGGTTTTTCCCCTTTGGCTCTGCAGCCTTGAATGTTGTCCTTGTGTCCAGTTCTCCATCCAAAGACTCATTGCTATGTCTAAACCTCAGATTTCCAGGGCTCTGTAAGCAGAGAAACAGGCACAGCCATTCTTGTGTGTTCTGGCTGTTGGACTCACCTTCTGCCTCTTCCCTCTGCTCAGAAGGTGTCTGGGGAGCTGAACTTCAAGATTCGGGCTGAGTTTGCTCGCCTTCATCAGATCCTGGAGGAAGAGGAGAGAGCTGTGCTGGCAGAGCTGGGTGAGAAGGAGGAGCAGTCACTGGCCCAGCTGCACAGGCACGTTGGCCAGCTGGAAGAGGGGGTGGCAGTGCTGCAGAGGGACATCGAGCACATCAAGCAGACCCTGAGCAAGATGGAAGATGTGTCACTGCTGGAGGTGAGATGCTTTGCTGACTCCGGCAGGAGGCTGAGAGATATTTCAGGATCTCAAATTGGGATGGGGGAGTCTTGAATGACAGCATTAGGCTGTACCCCAAAGTCATTCTCACTGCTATCCCTCTGGATTATCTACCCAGTCCTTTGGAGTCTGGAGATTTCAGCCACAAGGGATACAGTGACATCAGATGTGGTGGGTGTTGGGAGCCTTCCTCATTCTCCATCCAAGTGCCCAAACAGTTTTCCCCAGGCTACGGTTCCTGGTAGCTTGGTTTCCTCTCTCTGTGCTGTGTGGCAGCAGGAGGCAGGACAAGGAACTTATTTGTGCAGCTGCATGAATTAGAGTGACTGCTAATTCTCTCTGCTTCTCCCTGCAGGTGGAGAGCCTGGATATCAGGTACGTGTCTGGCATGAAAGAAGCTGATTCCCTTTTCAGACGCTTATCTTAGTCCCTGGCTGGGACCACATGGGAGATGCACTTATCTCAAGTTTTAAAAACATCACAAAGTGCTCAGGAAGTTGGTGTGCTGTGCAAGGTGCAGGCTGGTCCCCAGCACACACTGGATGCTCTTCCCAGGGAGCATCCTATGTGTTGGCAGGGCTGGAAGAGCAGGTAGAGGAGACCGTGGTTTGGAATGGGTGCAAGAGCCATGCATGCTGAAGAGGAAACAGACTTTGGGGTGCTTTATCTTCCCCCTGCCCTTCCTCAGCTTCTTCCTACTCATGAGGCTGCAAAAGTGACCCTGAGGTGCAGGTTTGTCTGAGGCTGGGAGTAGTTGAGGGCCAGCACTGCCATAGGGGAGCGTGTCCCTGTCCCCTCCCTCTCTGGGATGCAGCCTGACTCCACAGGCCCAGCCAGGACTCCTGCTGGGTGTGCTGGGTGTGGGTTTGCCAGGAGTCACACTGCTCCACGAGCAGTGCTGCTGGCTCTGTCTGGGGCACCTCTGCCCTGAGCCCCTCACTGCACTGGGGCAGAGCAAGCAGAGACATTTGTGTCCTGTCTTTACCAGATCTGTCCTGCAGCCCTGCCCGTGCTTTTCCTGCTGGCATTGGCAGTGACCCTGCGTGCCTCTCTGTGCCCCAGGCCCTCGGTGCATGTTGAGCCCCAGCCTGCCCTGGACCTGCAGCACTACAGGGACAGCCACAGTGGCCCCTTGCAGTACATCTTCTGGAGGCGGATGCTGCGCTCCATCTGCCCTGGTGAGCACATCGCTGTGAGGGATGGGCGTGGTGGCCAGGCCTGCTCTGCACAGGGAGCACACAGCTGGTCAAATGTCACACTTGATGTCTCCGCAGCTCCTGCCCCGCTCACCTTTGACCCCGAGTCAGCCCACCCCAACCTGGTCCTGTCCAAGGATCTGACAGCAGTGACAGAGAGGAGCCGAGCCCAGCCCGTCCCCGTCAGCCCTCGGCGCTTCCGTCAGTGCGTCAACGTGCTGGGCTCGCAGGCCTTCCGCGGCGGCCGGCACTACTGGGAGGTCTGGGTGGGCAGCAAAACCAAGTGGGACCTGGGGGTGGCTGCCGAGGCTGTGGACCGGGCAGCCAAGGTCAAGCTGTGCCCAGAGAACGGCTACTGGACGCTGCGCCTGCGGAACAGGACGGAGTACTGGGCCGCTGCCAGCCCCTGGGTGCGCCTGGCCCCCCGCCAGCCCCCGCGCAAAGTGGGCGTCCTGCTGGACTGCCAGGAGGGCACCGTGGCCTTCTTCGATGCTGGGGACATGTCCCACCTCTTCACCTTTCACCAGGTCTCTGCAGAGAGATACTGCCCCTTCTTCAGCACCTGCTTCAGTGACGGGGGGGACAACGTGGAGCCCATGCGCCTCTGTCACCTGGCCCTGTGAGGGACGCCGGCCTGGCTCCTGCCCAGGGCTGCGCTGGAGGCCAGCTCTGCACACACAAGCCTCAGGGGTTTGGAGGAGCTGTTTTGGTTTCAGTTTTGGGAGGAAGGAGGGGATGAGTCTCTCCCCGGTGCTGTCTGCCCTCCCCTGTGCCGTGGCTGTGGCTGCCACAAGGCACTCACAGGGGATCCTGGCCCCCTTTCCCGAGCACAGCACAGTGACAGCACCACGGGGCTGCAGCGGAGGGGGCTGTGTTGCCGGCACCTCCTGCCTCTCTGTGCTCCCACCATAAGCCCCTGGAGGAGGGCAGCGGTCCCGGGGCACCCTGGGGTGCCCCTCAGCCCCGCATCCCGGCCATGGCATCCCGTGCTGGAAGAGCTTCCCGGGGCAGCGCTCCGGGCCGGCGGCAGAGGGAGCCCGGTGCGCGGTCCCTGGTTTGGCGCTATTAAAGCTCCTTACAAAGCCTCTGGTGCCTGCTGGGGCTGCTCGGGTTTGTGTGCTGGGGGATCTGCTCTGCGGTGTGGCACAGCCTGGGGGCTCCGAGCAGCCCCCAGAGCCCTGCTCCAGCCCTGGCTCTTCGGTGCCTGAGCACAGAGGCTCACAAGAGACACTGCTCCCGTATATTTCCCTGCACATCTTGCAGTGGCTTTTCTCCATTTGCTGTTTGAGAAAAAGAGAGAGAGGCTCTGAGCCTAGCCCTGATCTTGGGCTACAGCGTTTTAAGATTTGGCCATCTCTGGTCTGGCTGGGTCTTAGGGATTTGTACATGTGAAAAATGCCAAGTCCCAATTCTTTCCAAATTCAGCAGGAATGTGGCTGTTTCCCTGTCAGCCTCCTGTGGCCCTGCTGGCAGCCCTGCACCTGCAGGAGGGCAGGCAGGTCCCTGGAGGGGCAAGTCAAGGGGGTTTGGCTGCTGTGCTTTGTGGCCAGGAGGTGCTGGCAGTCAGCAGAGGGGCTGGGATGGGTCCAAGCCTAGCTGGTGGAAGTGCTGGGTGGGAGGGAGGATGGTAGTGCCTGGGGTGGGTGGAAATGTCATGTTTTTTCCCACCCAAATCCATTCCAGGCTCAAAGCAGAGGCCAGAGCTCCCCAATACTGTGTAGTCCCCAGTGCTGGCTGGAGCCAGACTCCTCTGGCAGAGGCTCAGCTTTCTGTGGCATGGGAAGGGCCAGGTGTGAGGCTGTCCAGCTCCACAGCTGGGCACAGGGACACTTGCCAAAGCAAGGCCTTCACTGGCCATCTGCCTGCCCAGTGGGGATAGCACAGGGGCCCTGTTCCCCCCCGTGGTGCCACAAGGGACATTGGCTCTCCTGCACACCCTGCTGCACTCTGCCAGGGCTGGGGGTGCCCGAGGGCTGTGCCAGGGCAGGACAGGGAGCCAGGGGAGGATGTCCGTGCAGGGCTCAGGCAGATGTGTCCTGTGCAGGATGCTGAGCACAGCCCAGGGCTGCTCCCAGTGCCTGGGAAGCCTCTGCTCGGTGCAGCCTTGCTCGGGGTTGGGTGTGGAGGGTGTGCTGGGGGTTTGTGCTCTCTCCTGGCCCCGGGCTGGCCTTTAGCCAGTGAGTGCTGAGCCCATAGGCTGAACTCAGCCTCCTCTCCCAGCTCTCATCTCCTCCTCTCACTGCCCCACAGCCTCAGCTGCAGTAAGAGTGGAGAAGAAAGAGCTCTTGGCTTGGAAATGATGCTGCAAGCAGGGCTGTGTTACCCCCTTCAAGGGAGCCTCTGGAAAGGCAGGGCTGGTTTGATCACAGCAGGGAGTTACACCGGGAAAGCTGAAACCCATCAGCTGCCCAGCCTGCCCCAAACTGCAGCCAGGTCCGGCTGGGCAGCAGCAGGAGTGTCCCCAAAGTGTCACAGGGCATGGATCTGCCAGGCACGGGCAGGGTGAGCACAGCCAGGCTTTGCTGTGTGCCAGTGCCCTGCCCAGCGCTGCCCTGTGCCCTGTGCCACAGGGCCAGCGTGAGGCACAGGCTGCCAGCGTGTGCCACTGCCCTGTGCCACGGGGCCAGCGTGGTGGCACAGACTACCAGCGTGTGCCACTGCTGCCACCTTCCACACTCTCCCCATCCCTAAGGCCAAGCTGCAGAGCAGCCAAACCCACTTGTCCCAAATGCTCCTGAGGGAGCACGTCCTTTCTTCTCCTGCCAGGCTGTGCATGGTGGTCGTGGCACACTGCTACCAGGCAGAGCCACATTTTGGGGTATGATGTCCTCGCCTGGCCCTGCTGGTGGGGCAGGGCTGGGGAGGCAGGACAACTCCTACATACAGGGAAAATGCTGCTCTGGGCTGCCACATGTGCAGTGTTAGCCCAGTGAGGAAATGTGGTCTCAATGCCACTAGATGCTGCCTGAAAAACACATTTCTCTTACAAACCAGAGCACCGTGGGGTAGGAACCATAGGTATGAATGCAGTGACTGCCTTAGCTTGGCCTGGGTGCAGGCAGAAGGGGATAAGGATGGGAGAGTGGACACGATGGGGTTAAAGCACCTCTCACCCAGCATCCAGACTGCACCTGCCAGGACTGGCTCTCACCCATCTTCTCCCAGGTCCCGGCTGTGTTTTTCTTGTGGGTTACCTCATTGTTTTGTCCCTGGGTGTTCCCAGAGCCACCCCAGTGTCCCTTTCCCATAGTTATGCTAGGGCTGGGCAGTGTCCAGCAGCTCCTGCCTTGGCAGCTTTCTGTGATCTGTGTATGTCTTTATCCAGTGCTTTGGGGAAGCCTTTGCTTCCTCGGGTCCCCCCACGTGCTGGAATGGGGACAAGATTTTAAAATAAGATCCTTTTGTTTCCCAGGGCCGCAACAATGGAAAGGTCCCATCGGTCCCACAGTCACCCTGCGTTTGTGATGGAAAATTCCCCGCCGTGGCGGGGCGAGCCCTGCCCGTGTCCTGCCTTTGCTGCCATTAGATGGCAGCACGGACGGGCTGTCCTGGCCAGGCCAACTGCACCGTGCTGCTTTCGGGCTGCTGAGGGTGGAGGATGCCAAAATCCCTTCACTTTTGGGGTGCCAGAAGATGCCTGTCCCCTCAGCCGCGGTCAGACCCTCTGCTCCTCTCGCACTCAGCTTCTCCAGGCACCCTCTGACTGTGCCCTTCGGCCAGCAGCTCGGTGGTGCCATGTGATTCATTCCCGTGTCATTGTCCCCCCCAGCGCCTCAGCGCTCCCCCCTCAAGGGCACTGACCCCGATGCTGTCCCCAGCCTGGGGCACTGCGTGGCTCTCTGATCACAGCCCTTGTCACTGGGGAGGGGTCTGATCCAGCAATTTCAGCTCTTCACTCCTTGGTGCTGGGCAGTGACACACCTCTGTGACATTCCAGCTCTCCCTTGCCATGGCAAGTTTTGGAAGTCTCTCTTCAAACTTATAGGGGCTTGGACACCCACCTGGGGTGAAGGGACGTGGCCACTTTCTGCTCTGCTGAGATCCAGGAGGGAGGTGATCCAGGATGACTGTGCTGAAGAGTGATGGAGTTGGCACTCTCTGGGATTCAAACTCACTAATCAGGATGGGGAGAGGCGGGTAAAATAAATTCTGTGACTTAGAGTCCCTCTGAGGATTCCAGGAGAGGAACAGGGTGATTCCTTCTGCAGGTTTGGCAACGTGAGCAGTTGAGTGCACCACAAGTTTTCCTGCCTTTTTGAAGCCATGAGCACATGGCTTTCATTCAGGCTGTTTCTTCGCTGCCTACAAGTGAGCCTAAAGTTAATAATCCTCTGGGGCCGTGTTAATTGATCCGTTCAGCGCTCGATGGGTGCCCAGGCAGCTGGCAGGGCTGTGCCACCGCGCTCCCAGGGCTCTGCCATCTCCTCCGTCTGTGGCTCCGAGCCGGAGCCGCTGTGGCTGGCAGCGGCAGCGCTGTGGGGGCAGCGCCGCTGGCACCGGTGGGGCGGCACCGCTCCTCTGCCAGCGCCACGGGCGAATTTGTGGGGGAATTCGGTGGGTACCTGCCAGAGAGCCGTGCGGGTGCCGCACCGAGCGGTGCTGAGGGACAGCGTGGCTGTTCCACGCTGCTGGCACTGTGCACGCATGGACGGCGAGAGTGGGGGACCCCGCTGCACCCCCGCTGAATAAGGGTGCAGTGTGAGCGCACCCAAGTGCGTGTGTGTCTGTGTGCCCCGGGAGGGCGGCAGGAGCGGGGTGCAAGGGGTGTGTGCAGGACTGCGTGCCTGGGTGTGTGCCTGCAGGTGTGAGGTGTGGAGCGGAGGGGTGCGCGGGCATGGAGGGGTGTGTGCAGGCAGGTGCGAGATGTGCTCCATTGCATGAGGTGCGTGTGTGCTGCTGTTGAGAGCGTGTCTGTGTGCATGCCCCCTGCTCCGAGAGGCCGGGATGTGCACCCAGGCACAGAAAAGAAACAGGCGATGCGCGGGCATTCTCACACAAGTGCAGGAGTGCACACAGGTGTGAAAATACACACAAGTTTGGGGGTGCTCATGTGCCCCTGGGTCAGGGATGATGCAGAGCCACGCACACGGCTCGGGAACACACCCCCAAGACGCAGGGGATGCAGACCCACACGCACACAGGTGGAGACACCCAGGTGCGAAGGGATGCGCGCACCCCCGCTGGTGCGGAGCGCGGATTGCCGTCGGTGCCCGGAGCCGCAGGTGCGCTCCCCCAGCCCCCTCCGCCGCCCCTCCCCGTCCCGCCCCGCCCGCCCGGCGCCCCGAGGCTCGGCGGAGGGCGGCGGGCGGCCCGGGCGG